TCCTCCTGCCTCAGCCTCCCAAATGCTGGGACTACAGGCGTGCACCACCATACCTGGCCTTAAATATCTTATTTTGAGTCAGGGTCTTGATAAGTTGCTCAGAATGGCCTTGAACTTGCAATCCTCCTGCCTCAGCTTCTGGGGTAGGGGGCATTACAGGAGTGTATCACCACAGCAAGCTCACTTTTCTTTATGGTTGACACTGTTTATGTCCTATTTAAGAAATCTCTGTCTACTTCAAGGTCATGAAGATAATCTGTTTTATCTCATGCAGATTTGTTATATTTTATGTGCAGATTTATTCTTCATCTGGGATTTCTCTGTATGATTAGAAATGAATGGAGTTCAGGATTCATTTTTGTTAACTGGTATCCCTTTGACCCACATGTCTTATTGAAAAGATCATCCTTTCCCCTGGAGTCTCTGGACTCTTTCCTCAGCCCATTGTTCTATTTATCTTTGTGCCGATATCGAATAATTTAATTATTTTCAATTTATAATAAGTCTTGATAGTCAGCATCAGGGCTCTAGTTACATTGTTCCCTTCAGGGTTGTACTTGCTATTTCATCTCTGTAAAATGTTGGAATCTATTTACTGTACTAAGGTTTTGTTTTCTTAGCACTGGGGATTGAGCCCAGGGTCCTCTGTCATATCTTAGCCTCCTACTACACTTGGATATCAGGTGTACCCTGCCTCTCCTAGCTTCTTTTTAAACTATAGGTCTTGCCAGGTGTGTGGTAGTGCACACCTGTAATCCCAGCACTCTGAAGGCTGAGGCAAGAAGATTGCTGCAAGTTGGAGGCCAGCCTGGGCCACATAGTGAGTTCAAGGCCAGTCTAAACTACATAGTGAGATCCTGTTTCAAAACAAACAAACAAACAAACAAACAAGAAAGGTAGAGACGTAGCTTAGTGTGAATCTCCAGTACGTATTGTACAGCAGAACCCAAAAGAAAACAAATCAAAAAATTCCTCCAAATTCAAGAGTTCCTACCATTCCCTTCTCAGGTTTGATGATTCACTCGCACAACTCATAGAACTCAGGGGAGCACTTGATTTATGTTCACCAGTTTATTATGGAGGCTTTTGAGGAACAGAGGCCCAGAGGTTTGAAGAGGCAGGAAGGAGGGTGCCAGAGCTCCGGGGCCCCCCTCCATCTTCCCCAGCACTTCCACAAGCTTACTACTTTGGACCCTCTTTGAGTCTCTGGGGGAAGACTTTGGAACCCCACTCCCAGCTTCCTTCTCTCCCTGGAGGTGGCAGGTGAGGGTTCCTACCCTCTAATCTTTTTATGTGTATGTGTGTGTGGGTGGGGTAGCCACCACCCCAAACTATCTGGAGGCTCCAGCCTGCCTCACTCGTTAGCATGAACTCTGGGATGACTGAATCTATGAACGTGCATAACAAACCACGCTCCTGTAGGAAACTGCAAGGGTTTTAGGTGTTCTGTGCCAAGAATCAGGGAGGAAGACCAAATACACCTTTTTTTTAGAGGTGGGGGGTTATCTGGGATCAAACTCAGGAACTTGCACTTTTGAGGCAGGCGCCAGAACCACTGAGCTAAATCCCCGGGCCCCAAATACACTTTGTAATGATACCAAGAAGACAAAGGTGACAAGGATCACGTTTGGTAGTCCTCCCAGAGTCCAGGTTTGAGGCTATGACAGACTGGAATAGGCTGATGGGTGTGAGGACGCAGAGAAATTGACAGGCTTGTAGAGGCAGGCAGCTGAGCTGGCTGATGGATTGGATGTGGCAATGTAGGAGAGGAATCGAGGATGTTTTCCAGCTTTTTGTCTTGGACAATTGAATGAATAATGGTGTCAGCCAGTGAGTATATTGGGGAAGGAGCAAATTTGGGGTAAAATCTCTTTGATGAATATGAGACATGGAGTAGGGATATTAAGTAGCCAATTGGATTTGTGAATCTAGGTTTTTGGTGAAGTGGTCTAAGCTGGAGAGATTTTAAGGTCATAATGATATAGGGTGTACAATTATAGGGATGATACAGGACCTCCAAATGACATAAGGGAAATATTATACTGTAACTCCCAACCTATTAGATGTCTAATATGCTGAGTTTGTGTTCTCTAAAATTGAAGAATAAATCCTAGGAACAACAGAGGTTAAGAGGAGGAAATATTTATTGAGGGAAAGATAGCTTCTGTGTAAGAGAGACAGAAGGGGACTCAAAAAGTTGGTGGCTCGAAAAGTGAGTTGCCTGGGGCCCCCACTTCTCAAGGGAGTTTTATGGAGCAAAATCACGAGATAAGGTGGGTATTAGGTGGGAGAAACCTATAGTCAACGAATAAGATTACAAGTATGGTCACTTAGGTATTATCGAGCCAATGGAAAATCACAAGGTGGGTATGAGGTGGGACAGAACTATGGTCAACCAATAAGATTATGAGTATAGTCTCTTAGGTAATATTGATTAAATGGGGATCAAATGGGGAAGCAAGTCACACAGCAAGCATACTTTGAACAAGGATTTTCTGGGAAGGAATGGGATAGGGAGGTTTTGGTCCCCCCACCAAGGTGATTGATGCCTATTTAGAATATCAATCACTGCTGTTCATCCCTAGGGGAAGTATATGGGTGTAGTCATTTTTCCTTGTCCTGAAGCTTGACCTTCAACCAATGTGTCTCCAGACACAGTTGTAATATGTTCTTCTGCATTGACTCCAGGGCCAGCCCTGTCTGTCTATAATATTTTAACTAACTTAGCTGTTTATAATAATTTTATAAAGTCAAGGAATTGAATGAAGCCAGGTGTGGTGGCGCACACCTGCAATCCAAGGACTCTGGAGGCTGAGGCAGGAGGATGCAGGCCTGGGCTACATAGTGAATTCAAGATCAGCCTGAACTACATGGTAAGATCCTGTCTCAAAAAAACAAAACAAAAAACCCAAACAAAGAGTTGAATATCACTTAGGAATTGCATAATAGAGAACAAGTACTGAGCCCTAGAGCCTGCCAACATTTAAAGATTTAGCCAAGGGCCAGGGATTTAGCTCAGTGGTTCCAATGCCTGCCTTGCAAGCACAAGGTACCAAGTTCGATCACCGGTACCAAAAAACAACAACAACAAAATAAAGATTTAGTCAAAGAGGAAAAAATCAGCAGAGGATATTGGAAATGAGGCCCTGGAGAAAACAGTAGTTTTAGGACACTGTTATGTGGAATAAAGTTCAGGGGGAAATGTTGCAAGAGGAAAGAAGGGGGTCAACTGTTAGCAGTTCCCTGAGGTCAATTCTGATTAGACTAGGGAATTGATAATTGGTTTTGGAAACTCGAGATGATTAGTAATCTCAGTAAGTGATCACCACCAAAGGAAGCCAAAGCTGTATCAGGGTAGGTTGAGAGGTGAATAGGAAGAGGGGGAGCGGGAACAAGTCCCCGAGAGCGAAGAAAAATCTTTTTGAGAATTTATGCAGACCGCAGAGAAAGAGGGCAGTTGTTGGCGGTGATCTTGGAATCCAGGGTAGGGGCACATTTAGATCAGAGGGATTTCAGGATGTTTATATGGTGATGAGAATGATCCAACAGAGGGGGAAAAACTAATTGTGTTGGAGAGTAAGGTAATTGTAAGAGTCACCTCTTTAGGAATGTGGGAGTGAAAGGAATCTAGGTCACCCTGGTAGAGGGGCTGGCCTTCTGGGAGATGGGGACACTGCACAGTAAGTTAAGTGTCACTGAGCAGATAAGAGCTGGCTTTTTTCTTTTTGATAGAGGGTGTGGTTCAGACTGGCCTTGAACTTACTATGTAGCTCAGGTTGGCCTTGAACTCTCAGCGATTCTCCTGCTTCAGCCTCCCCAGTGCTGGCAGTACAGGTGTGTGCCACCATGCCTGGCAAGAGCAGTTTTGATGAAGACAAGGTAAGTGAATTCATGTCTGATACCTTCCATTTTTCTCCATGAACTGTAAGGCAGTTGATCAGTATAAAAAGCAGGGGCTGAGTCAGAGGTATGGGATTTTAAGAGACCAAAAAGTATGAAATATCTTTCATCAAGTCTACGTATATATAAATGAACTGGAGAAAGTCCTTCCAGGATCAAGCACATCTCCTCCCAAATCTTTTTTTCTTTCATTGGACCTTTTGCTCCCTCCTGCTATTCATCACCGTTTATGATTGTATTTTTATCAGATCATTGTGCGCCTCCCCCCCCCCCCAATTGGAGAGGGACAGGAGGGCAGGGACCTTGTCCCATTTCTCAGTGCACAGGGGCAACAGGTAATCACTAAATAAGTACTTGATGGATCAAAGACGTTCATGGACAGAGGTCTTCAGGATTTCATCTTTTTTTTCTCCCGGGGATCGGGCTCAGGACCTTGCGCTTTCGAGGCAAGCGCGGTGCCACTGAGGTAAATCCCCGTCCCCAGAAATTCATCTGTTAAGCAGTAACAGGGCAGTTTTCCTCTTCGAGCTTTCATCTGGGAGTTTATGCCACGGGAATGGCCTCTCCCTTGCCGACCTCATCGCGTTATCCTGAGGATCGATGCCAACAACCCTGGAACTGCTTCACGTGCTCCTTCCACGTCACGGGTCGTTACTTTCGGCCCACCCGGGGCCTCGCAGGTGGCAGGCGTCCCAACGCCCCGCTGGTTGGGGGAGGGGACGGTATTGTCTCCCGGACCGCGACCACGAAGCTTTGCCGAAAGGTTCTGCGGGTCGCGAGGGGGCGGGGCGCAGGCCAGCGTCCCTCCAGCCGGGGCCCTTCCCCGGAGGCGCTGGCGGCCGAGAATGGGGGTGGGGAAGCCGACGGGGGAGTAACTGTCAAACCTCTCCGCTTGGCGCCATTATTTAAATGGTACGTGCCCATCTCGCAGCTGTGCGTGCCTGGGGCGGAGCTCGGCGCGCCAGGAGCGGGGCGGAGGCCGGGGGCGGGCCGACGGGGCAGTGGGGCGGGGCGGGGCGGGGCGGGGCGGGGCCAGGCCGACCAGAGGGGCGGGTCTGGCGGCGGCCCCCGGCGAGGTCCAGTGCGCTTGCGCTGACAGACGCAAGATGGCGGACAGTGCGGAACTAAAGGTAAAGCGCAGCTCGAATTCACTTCTAATATTCGGCCGCGAAGATGGCACCGCTGGTGCTGGGGGGGATGGGTCCGACCCTGGGGGGCCGCTCGGGCCTGGCTCAACCGGGGCCTGGAGTTGTAGGGAGGAGAGGCGAGCCCGTCACAAGCTGAGGGGGCCTGGCTGCGGCGGGCCGCGGGCCCCGGGTGTCTTGGGGGCGCTGACGGGTCGTCCCCGGCGTGTTATTGTTGTGGGCGCCCCTGGCGGGGGTGGCGGGGGAGGAGAGAGCCAGCCGACAGTCGGGGCTCGGCTGTCCCCGAGGCCCGGCTTCCTCACCTTGCCGCCTGCCTCCCCGCCCTCCCCCCCCCCATGGGGCGCAGGGGCTGGGGGCAGGGTGTTCTCGGAGGGGGTATCGGAAAAGCTTCCCGCCGCCGCTTCCTCTTCCTTCTTCGCGGTCCCGGGCTCCTGTCAGGCGGTCGCCTTGGACCCCCGGGAACTTGGCTCCGGCCGCCCCGCCCCTCCGCGGATCCCTGGCGCCCCCGCCCCAGGCCGGGCTCTCCCGGCTTCCCGCCTGTCACTGGAGGCGCCCGGGGTGCCCCGCTCGTGGGAAGCGCGATCCTGGGGCGCCGGGGAGGGGAGGCGGGGGAGCAGCTCTGGTAAAGTTTAGCGAGCCTCGGGTTTCGGCCGAGGGGCAGCGGGGGAGTCTGCCTAAGGCGGGACGTTACTCTTTCTCTGTGATCCTGACCGCCGGGGAAGAAAACCCCTCGAAGAGTATTTGCAAGCAGTGGTGGGCGGTGGGATGCAGCTAGAATCTCTGTCCTCTCGCGCTGGCTGGGGTGGAGGGTGAGAGGAGCCTTGGGGGTGTCTGCACACACCATGATGGCGATGCTATAGCTGATGGAGGTGAATGGTTCGTGTTTATATCCCCCTGTTGCCTTTTGTTTGTAGGGACATCTTGCTGGCCATGTTGGTTTGGACGAAATTCAGACCCTCTAGCCCTACTCCAAACCCCAATAAATAGAACGTTCCTCGGTTCCTCTCAACTGTACCAATTACTCACGCCTCATGAAATTAGATGAAAGGGTGCCCCCTTTCCCCCGCTTTTTCTCCCACCCCGGTCTTTTACCTGATGATGGCTTCTTTACCGAAAGAGATATACCACTACACAAGCAGTTGGGGGAGGAGGGGGTGGAACCCTTATGATTGGATTGTGACAGATTGGGCTCCGCTTGAATAATTTTGGTTTAGTAGCAAGCAGTTCTTAACTAACGCATATTATTTCAAGGCTCTGAATGCGTTATTCCCTTCTCAGAGGCTTCCTGTGTGTGAACCAAGCAGCTGGTTGTATCCCAATCCAGAGAACTGACATCCCTGTCACTGTAGAGACTGGGACATACAATTGTAAATCTTTGGGGGGGGGGGTGTATAAATTTTTGTAATTAACTTCTAGAAAAACCAAACACCAGGCTCGTTTCTGGAGAGTTTTTCTATGTAAAAGCCTTCCTGAAAGATTGTTTTCCCTGGTAACTTTGTTAACATTCCAAGATTTGTATATTAAGGTATTGGCTTTTAGTGTCATCCTTTCAAATTTACTTCTGATTACAAATTTATTAAGACAGATTTAAAACAGTTTTTCCCCCTCAGTTTCAGATTATTGACTGAAATGAGAAAACCTCAGGAATTTGAATATTTGGAGATAATTAACTTGTAAAGTAAAAAGTACACAACTTTAGAATACATGTTTGCTATAGTTTCTCTTTTAAAATGCAGTCACTGTGTTGCTGTGATCTTTGTCTTCTAATATTTATTTTGCTAGGAGTCCTTTTGAATGATAGCTAATCAGTTCTATTATACGTGGACCATAGAATAAAGCTGAAAAGCTTGTGGGGGCTATATTGTCACTCTTGATGCTGTCCAAAGAAACTAGTATGGAAAGCCCATGCTGGGAGATTTCCTTCTTTGTTCTTTCTCATTTTAAGAAAGTGCCTTTGGGGATTGCTGAGATTCCTGGTGTGAATCTTGTTAGGTAAAGTTTCTCTTTACAAAAATGAGCCAGTATTGGATAAATACCAAATACTTTGGGGGGAGAAATGTTATTTTTCTAAAATTGGTTTCCTTTTTTGCCGTCTCCAAAATCTAGTTCAGTTTTTCCGGAGTAGTTATTTTCCACTTTTATATTCCTGCTGTATGATTTAAAAAAATTATAATGACTGTTTTGACAGGTTGGTATGTCATTGTGTGTGCCTGAGACTTTGAGGAACTGTGATAAATCTCTTAGGTGGTGATAGCCATGTTAAAAATTTGTTAATACTTCATTTACCATTCTTTTTTTGGGGAAGGTGATTTCAGAAGCACCTACAGTTATTAGGAGTGTGCATATATAATTTTTTGTGAAGTTTGGAAGATACTCCATTCAGAAGTATTTTCTCAGGGTGTTCTGTTTGTAATTTTTGGAGGTAAATAGCATACATCCTTTAAGGTTGGAAAAATCACAGTAGGAACAAAAAACTTAAAATTTTTTTAAAGTTTTAAATGAAAGCTTTGAGTAAATACACTGACTTTATCGTAGTTCATAGCCCACATTTCATTTTGCTCTGTGTTTTATTCATAAGTATTTTGCTAATGACCCTTTTAGTGAATCCTTTTAAATCTATAACAGATCTGCAAAGATCAGATGGAAAACCAGATCTTTATCCCCAGTTGGAATAGTACAAGCTATGATGCTTTAAGATATTGCCAATAAAAATTAGATTGTGAGTCATAAATATCAAAATGATTCTTCTGTGCACATTTGTTTATGAAAACTTTAATTTTTCATTAAAGGAATACTCATAAATGACATTTGTGAGAGTGTGGAGGGTGGGTATTTTATTACCTTTAGAAAGTTAAAAGCAGGAGAGTGTGATGATCAGATGATCTTGGTAGTTAATCTGTGAAGTTGTCATGTAGTGCCTTGTAAAATACTTTCTTCTTAAAGTTTTTATATAGTAAAACTCAAACCAAGCATGGCATGGGTGTGTGTGTGTGTGTGTGTGTGTGTGTGTGTGCGCGCATGCGAGCGTGCATGCGTGCATGCCTGCCTGCCTGTCTGCCTACCTACCTACCTGTAATCCCAGCATTCAAGGAGGCTGAGACAGACGGACCACAAATTGGAGCCCAACCTGGGCAATTGAGGGATTTAGTGAGTCCTTGTCTCCAAAAAATAAAGGGCTGGTGATGTAGCTCAGTGGTACAGTGCTTACCTGTCATGTTCTAGGCTGTGGGTTCAATCTTCAGTACCATAAAAATAAACAAAACTCAGACCAAGTTAAATTGCAATTTTAACTCGAGAACTGTGGACGGGAAGTTCATTTTAATGGAGTAAATAATGGAATTCAAATGGAAGAGAAACCGTACTTTTAAAAGTACTGTATAAGCTTGTCAGTAAATTCTGTTGTCTACTCTGTTTCTTTATTTTCAAGAAATAACCACTTAGTTTTGATTTTTGTGGTGTAATTTGTCTGCAAGTAAGTCTGACAATTTATTTGTGGGTTTGATTTTAATTTCCATAACTTGCTTTTGTCGAGTGCCATATTTAGATGTCTTTTGTTTTATGTCACTCATTTTGTGAACAGTATTTAAAAACAATTTATAAAACACTTGAGTTTTTAAGTATTTCATTCAATTGTTTTGAAATACTGCCTTCTTTTCCTCTGTGGTTTTCTCCTGGGCAACTGCATTGTCTTTCTCTTCAAAGAGTGTCTTGTAATCCCTGTTGATTGCAGTAGTGCTTAGTGTCCATTACAGAGCTGATTAACCTTGGGTTTCTCCTGGTGCATGCCATGGACATGCTGCTCCAGGGTTCTTGCTGAGGCTTTTGAATTCAGTGTAGTTGGTGCCCTTTCCTGCTGGTAACTAGGAATAAGAAAATAAAATGGCTTGTGGTTGTAGTAGGAACAGGGAAGAAATACCCAAATTTCAAGCAAAAAATGTTCATGATGGTTAAAAATGAAACGAAAACCCTAATTTATTGCTTTGTAGAATTGATTGTAGTGTTTTGTAAAATATTTGACTCCGGTGTTACGTCTCTTTTTTTGTTTGAATGATAATAATATCTTATATCATGTTATCTCATTTGATCTTTTCAACAATTCTTTCAGCTAGGAAAGTAATATAGTACAATAACTCCCTTTTATAGATAAAGTAAACCTAAAAAGGTTAAGTGATTAACCCAAGGTCATACAAATAAGATTTGAATTTAGGTCTTGTGGTTTCAAAACTCTTTACTGCAGGACTCCCTAAAGGTGCCATGAGTTGCAGTGACAGTCCTGGAGTCCTCCAGGGTACCTAGCTCACAAGGAATCCCAGTTGTGTTTTTGTTAACACTTTCCTTTCATTCTATGCCTGGGCGTTTTTGGATATTCCTTAGGCTTTTTGCAGGCTGCCTTCCAAAAAGTTCAGAGATAGCTGGAAATCATACATGTTAATTTTTGCAAATACTATTTTTGCTTGGGAAAAATTTAAGAGAATACTGAAAAGATAGAATAAACAGCACCTATAATTGCAGTATTAAGAAATATTGTGGTTAACATCTGGGTGTCCATTTAGGTATTCTGTGTCTGAGTTTTTGTGTACTTGCAAACAAGGATCACAACATTTAAAAATTTTGTTTTTCAGGAACTCATTATGTTGGGACCGGGGATTTAGCTCTAGTGATTCTGCTGCCTGCCTGGAAAGCCCAAGATCCTGAGTTCGATCCCTGGTACCGCAAAAAAAAAGAACTCATGTAGACCAGGCTGGCCTTGAACTTTCAGTGATCCTCCTGGCTCAGTCTTCTGAGTGCTGGAATTACAGATGTGTGGCACCATGCCCAGAACAGCATTTTAAAATTTATAATAGTTTCTTTTCACGATGTCTTTCCAGTTTAGAATATATAGATTATAGGATCATTTGAATGGTTACATTTTATTGTAATCAGTCAATATCATTTGACAGATTATTTCATTTTTTGTTTTTGCTGTTTTTTGAGGTTATTGAGGA